ATGTATGTACATTAATACATTTGCAAATACCTACGCTAACGTATGTGTATGTAGGTTTAATTGTGAGTGAATATGTTTGAGCATAATACATAAATCCGATTTCATCTACTCACCAAGCTTGTCACAACAATGAAGATCGTGCACCTCATCCTGAAAGAATTTTTTTTCCTGACTTAGGAATTAAAAGAAAACAAAAGAATTAAAAAATACACAAAAGATATCTACAGGTTAAATCAAGGCGGTAACAGAAGAGCAAGGTAACTCTCAAAGTCGGGCTTAAATCCATATTTTTTAATTGGAGCGCAATTTATTGTCATTTATTCTTCTATACGTCTCTCTCTCTCTCTCTCTCTCTCTCTCTCTCTCTCTCTCTCTCTCTCTCTCTCTCTCTCTCTCTTCATCAATCTCTCTTTATCTCTCTCTCTCTCTCTCTTTATCTCACGCCACCCCTTCTCTCCTCTTTCTCTCTCTCAACACTGGTAATTCCGTTTTTCTCCTCTGTCTTTCCCTGCTGTTTTCAAAACATTACGAGGCGAAAGTAAACAGTGGAGGTCCAATTATCTTGGCTCTTCTTTGAACTCACCTCCTATATACGTGTGTGTGTACATGTGTATGTATTCATGTACTGTATGTATGGTCTTATATCGTGTCATGGGAGGGGCAGACACCCTATTTAATCTGGCCAGGGATCTCTTTACAGAGCGGGATACTTCCCCAGCTGTGAAGGGAAACGAGAAAAAGATCCCTGTCTAAAGCGGCACCGCTGTGTTGGTCTTTCGTCCTAGCTAGGAAGGGAAATATGATGGCAAAACAAAAACTGTAGTAAAATTACTGGGAAGCCTATTACTTGATTGTCTAAACGTGATTATGGCATATTAGGTACAATTGTACTGTAGATATAAGCAATATACATAACAAGTAACTGCGCCTCACTAAAACTTTATAGATTATCCAGACAAGCGTTCATTTGATTATGGAATGTAAACAGACACCCAGCCCGACACGCTAAAGAAATTAAAAAAATAAATAAATTAATTAATAATAAAAAAAACAAAAAAACGAGAGAGACACAGCTTGCACACATGGTCAAGAAACATAAAAGATATATGACCAGCAAGAAGGAAAAAAAAAAACATTACTAAATTAACATACATACACAAGGATGGAGTTGAACTTAGGCATTATTTACGCCCTGGTGGATAAAGTGAGAACTATATAGCAATTAAGGAATACCATCCACAAATATCATATAATCAACATGAAACTTTGCTTTACAAGGGGTATAATCGTAGGGCTGGCAAGGCTGTGTCACGATCAACAGCTGCTAATATTTTACTAAATTTCAGCTATGGTATTTGCTTCCTCCAAACTTTAGTTTTTATCCATTCTTAGTTACGTCTCTCGTACATTACTGATTATACTAATAGCGGTATATGCTACTGAAGGGGATTGTCTTTTTATGCTGAAATATGGCACGGTTGTATGATGTATGGTAATTAATGAAATGAGTGGGTTGGCTTTACTAAGTTTAATGTCTTCTTTCGTGATTTTTTAAATCGATATGCGATGATATTCAGAGAATTCTTAGAGGTTATTATGGACACTTTAGTCTTATCTGGGACGATGTTTCTCTACAGAGAACGCTATGCATAGAGTGACCAACCCCGTTCTGTAGCTGAACAGCACTCGGCGTGGCTGTCTGGGGATCCCCGAGCAGGCAAGACTAGTGTGACCGTTGCTTAAGACAAAAGTTCTTAAACGGGCGTATCTATATCCACTGAGGATCTGGGAACCAAATGCTAGGATGTATGGGACTCAATTTTTCATTTTTATCAGTTTAATCTTTTGGATATATGCTTGTATAGATTGTTAGATTATTATTAGCCCTGTTATTTCAAGTGCTAAATCTGACTCACTTTCACTTTCTTTAAAGTGATGAGTAGAAGCAAATAACGATCTTTCTAAAAC